CTCCTGCGCCATGCCACTCCTGCAGGGCAGAGCTTCAACACTGTTCACTTTGCACCACACAGTAAGATTCTGTGTCCTTTCTGCAGTGAGGTGAACCTGTACCAGACGGTGGATGTGTACAAGAAACACATGCTGGTGCATGTCAACAAGATCATGTCTGAAGAGTGTGGTAGAATCACCCTCCCCAGTCACACAGACTTACTCAGAAGAATGCCAGTTGAAATGAAGTCCAGGGAGGAGGGGACAATGTCGGTACAGCCAGTGAGGAAACAGTTCAGCAAGTCGTACAAGAGAAAATATCCAGACACACTCAATAGGCCAAGATTTGACAAACATACTAACGTAACCCCAGATGAGAGAGGGCCTGCTATGGCATCCCAGCTGTCGACTTCAACGCCAAATACTCGTAGCTACGCTCCTGACGTCTCTGCTAACCTCAATAGCACAGATGGGAGCCCGGAAGGATCCCTGCAGGGCAACTCCGGGTTGTTCATGTCCCCAGAATGGGGCTGGAACTCCAGTAACCTAGGCAACGCTGGGACACAGTCTGGTAACCCGGCTGAGTACACACAGCTGGCAACCCAAGAGTCTGACGCTCAGGCTGGTAACTTGTCCACGAGGGCGGGACTGAGTCACAGATCCTTCCTGATTGAACCTGATTTGAATGATTCTGGTTGTATTCAGACTTTCAGCGGAGAGTCGGACCTTGTTGATGTCACCGGAACCACTCCACTACAGAAGTTGCCCTCTTTTCACACCTTTACTTCCAAACTTCATACACGTGACCCCTCCAACCAGTCTCGTACACAGCCACCTCCCTCCCAAGCCCTCACTCCGGCCCCTCCCACTCGACCTCTCTCACAAGCTATGCCCAGAGCAATGCTGAACATGCCATCGACACAACAGTACTCAAGATATTCTGGAAGTAGTATTGCCTCACGACAAGCACATACTGGTCCTGCTTTCACAAGTAAGAGTGTTCAAAGGAGTCATACTAGTGAGTTCCTTAGCCTTGAGAGAGTTTCAGAGCTCATGAAGACCACATCCCACTTCACTAATGCCTTTGTCTGTGAGGGTCAGCCCTGCTCCATCTGCCAGACAGTGGTACTTACGCCACACAATGTCAAGGAGCACCTTTTCACTCACTTTGATTGTAATGGAAGGTTTGCCTTCATCAAGCGAGACCGCAAACATGAGTGCCCGATCTGCTTCAAGATGGTGGGAGAACGGAGGTCTGCTACAGCACATCTCTTCACACACTGGGGTGCCAACATTCTCAGATGCCCTGCCTGCAACAAACCCTTCAACTTCCTCAAAACACTGAAAATCCATGCACAGAAAAATCACCCAGACTTCACGTTCTCCCTGACACTGCTTGACAATATTTGACAGTCATGCCTGGACGTCCCCCCACTGAGGAGTTTGCCATGTTTGGCAGCTGGCAAGGTGGGGATGGTCTTCAGGAGCATCTATTAATTCATCAAATGTTCATTTTCCTATACAATCAGTACTAGTTCTCCTTTGTTTACTTGAGACTTTGTTTGTTAGAGTTTATCATGATGACATCATGTATTATTGTTATCTATCATGTGTCTGTAACTTGCTTGATAATCCGTGCCATATCTTGCCAACTTAGAGGATTGCCATGATGTTACACCTGCAAAATGTTAACACACACAATTACCCAATTGACTGAAAACACACAAAATTTCCCATTTAACACAACACACAGAGCTAATTCCTCAGTTAACACACCACACATGGAATTCCCCAGTTGACACAACACACAGAATTCACAGTTAACTCAACACACTGAATTCACAGTTAACTCATCACCCAGCATTCACAGTTAACTCAACACACTGAATTCACAGTTAACTCAACACACTGAATTCACAGTTAACTCAACACACTGAATTCACAGTTAACTCAACACACAGAATTCACAGTTGACTCAACACACTAAATTCACAGTTAACTCAACTCACTGAATTCACAGTTAAATCAACACAGAATTCACAGTTAACTCAACACACTGAATTCACAGTTAACTCAACACACAGCATTCACAGTTAACTCAACACACTAAATTCACAGTTGACTCAACACACAGAATTCACAGTTAACTCAACACACAGAATTCACAGTTAACTCATCACCCAGCATTCACAGTTGACTCAACACACTAAATTCACAGTTAACTCAACACACTAAATTCACAGTTTACTCAACACCCAGCATTCACAGTTAACTCAACACCCAGCATTCACAGTTGACTCAACACACTAAATTCACAGTTACCTCAACACACTAAATTCACAGTTAACTCAACACACACTCAACACACAGAATTCACAGTTAACTCAACACACAGAATTCACAGTTAACTCAACACCCAGCATTCACAGTTGACTCAACACACTAAATTCACACTTAACTCAACACACTAAATTCACAGTTAACTCAACACACAGAATTCACAGTTGACTCAACACACTAAATTCACAGTTAACTCAACACCCAGCATTCACAGTTGACTCAACACACTAAATTCACAGTTAGCTAAACACACAGAATTCACAGTTAACTCAACACACTAAATTCACAGTTAACTCAACACCTGAGCATTCACAGTTGACTCAACACACTAAATTCACAGTTAACTCAACACACTAAATTCACAGTTAACTCAACACACTAAATTCACAGTTAACTCAACACAGAATTCACAGTTAACTCATCACCCAGCATTCACAGTTAACTCATCACCCAGCATTCACAGTTAACTCATCACCCAGCATTCACAGTTAACTCAACACACTGAATTCACAGTTAACTCAACACACTGAATTCACAGTTAACTCAACACACTGAATTTACAGTTGAATCAATGCACAAAATTCACAGTTGACTCAACACACTGAATTCACAGTTAACTCATCAACCAGCATTCACAGTTAACTCAACACACTAAATTCACAGTTGACTCAACACACAGAATTCACAGTTAACTCATCACCCAGCATTCACAGTTAACTCAACACACTAAATTCACAGTTAACTCATCACCCAGCATTCACAGTTAACTCAACACACTAAATTCACAGTAAACTCATCACCCAGCATTCACAGTTAACTCAACATACTGAATTCACAGTTAACTCAACACACTAAATTCACAGTTAACTCAACACACAGAATTCACAGTTATCTCAACACACTAAATTCACAGTTAACTCAACACACAATCAACACACAGAATTCACAGTTAACTCAACACACTAAATTCACAGTTAACTCAATACCCAGCATTCACAGTTGACTCAACACACTAAATTCACAGTTAACTCAACACACTAAATTCACAGTTAACTCAACACACAGAATTCACAGTTGACTCAACACACTAAATTCACAGTTAACTCAACACACAGAATTCACAGTTAACTCAACACACTAAATTCACAGTTAACTCAACACCCAGCATTCACAGTTGACTCAACACACTAAATTCACAGTTAACTAAACACACAGAATTCACAGTTAACTCAACACACTAAATTCACAGTTAACTCAACACATAGAATTCACAGTTAACTCAACACCCAGCATTCACAGTTGACTCAACACACAGAATTCACAGTTAACTCAACACACTAAATTCACAGTTAACTCAACACCCAGCATTCACAGTTAACTCAACACCCAGCATTCACAGTTAACTCAACACCCAGCATTCACAGTTGACTCAACACACTAAATTCACAGTTAACTCAACCCACTAAATTCACAATTAACTCAACACACAGAATTCACAGTTAACTCAGCACCCAGCATTCACAGTTGACTCAACACACTAAATTCACAGTTAACTCAACACACTAAATTCACAGTTTACTCAACACACTAAATTCACAGTTAACTCAACACCCAGCATTCACAGTTAAATCAACACACAGAATTCACAGTTAACTCAACACCCAGCATTCACAGTTAACTCAACACACTGAATTCCCAGTTAACGTAATACATGGAAATTGCCAGTTAACTCAACACCTAGAATTCTCAGTTCTCACACGTGCACTTCCCAGTTGACACACACACACACACACACACCAAAACACACACCAATTGACTGCACATGGTGATAGTGCCCAGGATTACCTGTTTTGTTATCTTGAAGTCAAGGCAGGTGCCCCTTTGTGTACTGCCAATAACCATAAGTGCCATTTTCTTACTGGTTCATTTTTTTTTTCATTGTTAGTAGTTTTACGCGGTATTTGTTTTATCACAGATAGTTGAATTTTTTGGTTTTTATGCTAAGTATTATTCAACTGACTTTGAATCTTGTTGTTTAATTGATAATTGATCAATTCTTGATGTCCTTGTTTTAGCAAAAAATTGTTTTATGCTTGAAAAGAAATCAGTACAGTTTGCAAGATAACACAGTCTGTTGGTTTATGTTCATATTAACTGTTTATTGGTGTTGCCTGTTTTCCAACTGTTATTTTATATGTTCATTTTGATATGGTATGGCTGTAAAAGCTGTAAAACAAAGCATGGTATGGCTGTAAAAACATCCATTATGGTATGGCTGTAAAACCATCCATCATGGTATGGCTGTAAAACCAAGCATGGTATGGCTGTAAAACAAAGCATGGTATGGCTGTAAAACAAAGCATGGTATGGCTGTAAAACCATCCATCATGGTATGGCTGTAAAACCATCCATCATCCCATGGCTGTTAAACCATCCATCATGGTATGCTACTGTAAAACCATCCGTAAAACAAAGCATGGTATGGCTGTAAAACCATCCGCATGGTATGGCTGTAAAACCATCCGTCATGGTATGGCTGTAAAACCATCCGTCATGGTATGGCTGTAAAACCATCTGTCATGGTATGGCTGTAAAACCATCCATCATGATATGGCTGTAAAACCATCCATCATGATATGGCTGTAAAACCATCCATCATGGTATGGCTGTAAAACCATCCATCATGGTATGGCTGTAAAACCATCCATCATGGTATGGCTGTAAAACCATCCATCATGGTATGGCTGTAAAACCATCCATCATGGTATGGCTGTAAAACCATCCATCATGGTATGGCTGTAAAACCATCCATCATGGTATGGCTGTAAAACCATGAAACATAAAGTGGGCCAGGAAGGTTATGTCTTAAGTTTATTTCTGCTGCATTTCAACAATTCCGATATGTATCACTCCGACAGGTCAGGGATGTCCTTAGACAAACATTTGGAAACCATAACTTTTACTGTTTGTGAAGGATGCTTAGTACTGGTCATTCCTTGTACAAGGTTGCAATCTGGAAAGGTTATGTGTCACACCAGGTCAAGGTCACGGTGAAGTCATTCCTTGTACAAGGTTACAATCTGGAAAGGTTATGTGTCACACCAGGTCAAGGTCACGGTGAAGTCATTCCTTGTACAAGGTTACAATCTGGAAAGGTTATGTGTCACACCAGGTCAAGGTCATGGTTAAGTCATTCCTTGTACAAGGTTACAATCTGGAAAGGTTATGTGTCACACCAGGTCAAGGTCACGGTGAAGTCATTCAAGGTTGTATCTGAAAGGTTACAATCTGGAAAGGTTATGTGTCACACCAGGTCAAGGTCACCAGGTCAAGTTCACGGTGAAGTCATTCCTTGTACAAGGTTACAATCTGGAAAGGTTATGTGTCACACCAGGTCAAGGTCACGGTGAAGTCATTCCTTGTACAAGGTTACAATCTGGAAAGGTTATGTCACAACCAGGTCAAGGTCACGGTGAACAGGTCAGGTGAAGTCATTCCTTGTACAATCTACAATCTGGAAAGGTTATGTGTCACACCAGGTCAAGGTCACGGTTAAGTCATTCCTTGTACAAGGTTACAATCTGGAAAGGTTATGTGTCACACCAGGTCAAGGTCACGGTGAAGTCATTCCTTGTACAAGGTTACAATCTGGAAAGGTTATGTGTCACACCAGGTCAAGGTCACGGTTAAGTCATTCCTTGTACAAGGTTACAATCTGGAAAGGTTATGTGTCACACCAGGTCAAGGTCACGGTTAAGTCATTCCTTGTACAAGGTTACAATCTGGAAAGATGTGTCACACCAGGTCATGGTCACGGTGAAGTCATTCCTTGTACAAGGTTGCAATCTGGAAAGGTTCTGTGTCACACCAGGTCAAGGTCACGGCTAAGTCACGGTGAAGTCATTCCTTGTGTACAAGGTTGCAATCTGGAAAGGTTATGTGTCACACCAGGTCATGGTCACGGTGAAGTCATTCCTTGTACAAGGTTGCAATCTGGAAAGGTTCTGTGTCACACCAGGTCATGGTCACGGTGAAGTCATTCCTTGTACAAGGTTGCAATCTGGAAAGGTTATGTGTCACACCAGGTCAAGGTCACGGTGAAGTCATTCCAAAAGGGTGTTTGCCATTTTCATTGCTTTGCCTATACAAACTACTGCTCATGTTTTGGTTTTATAGTTTTGAACTCTTGTGTATGATAAGTGCCAAAAATCTTGCAAAAGTCTGCATGACCTACTTTCATTATGAAGCAATGTCATTCAGTCTCCAAATTTTGCTAGCCAGTCGGGCTAGCTATGCCTGTAAGTTACTTGGCCACAAAATAATTTACTACCCCAAAATTTGAATGAAGAAAGTAAGCAAAAGATTGCAAAAATAGATGAGAATAAGATATTGTCAGCATGCCATGGGTTTCATCATTAAGCTGCTAATATGATGAACATTTTTATCAGGCCATAATCTTGGATGATTTAAGAAAGTGTTTTAACTTATGTCAGAGGGTAATGCAGATACAAAATGACCACATGAAAATTCACTAGCCAGTGACTGGAGACTTACTGGCCTGACTTGATCTTTACTAACCACGGGCAAGCGGGCCAGTGGCTCTTTCACACACCGATTTCATTGTGAAACCATGTGATGTTTGGCCATATAGCCTGCCACTGCCTTATGACCCAGGAAATCATTTTGGAAGGTCAAGGTCATCCTCCAAGTTAAGGCTTTACTTTGTTGACTGAAAAATGATTTCCTGTAAGTCATATTTCATGCTCAAGAGTGATCTCTCTGTAGGTCTGTCTCTGTGAAGGTCATGGGCAAAGTGTGCTTGACCTTTATGCTTAAAGATCCACTTAAGCCTGATGAATGTAGTGGTTGCATCGTTAGTATGGAAGTACATGTGGCCCTCCTCCACAGCATGTACTGTCTAACTCTCTCAGATCCACTTGGACAGAGAAGCTGAAAGTCCCTCTGATCACAGTTCCTGTATATGACTATTTGGAGCTGTATTCAGAAAGACATTCATGGTGACTGATCTAGTCAAAATGTCCTGTGATTCTCTCAAATTATGTCAAAATACAGTTTGGGGTATGTTAACACCTCTAACACTGCCAGGCCGAGGATGTGCACCTTTGACATGTCTTCTCCTGGTGTTGACATAAATTATTTTGATTTAAATTTTGAATTTCTTATTAAAACTTGAAACAGTTGTAGGGCATTTTTCCAGTCAGATAAGATCCATTATGTTAAGCAATGGAAATATAGTGCATTACAAAGATAGTCTAAAGTAGTACATTCATGTTCCTAAACATTCCACATTTATGACTATATCCTTTACTTGTTTATATATAGTTATGTTTGCAGCTAAGACTGTTTAGGCAAGAGTCAAGGTCATTAAACCAGAAACGGGACTTTGTGTGACAAATTTGCTGCATGTAACTTTCTTACTTGTGTTACATGGCATTTTCTGTTTCAAATTATTTCTGCTTTGGGTATGCATGTCAATGAAAAATATGTGCTTGCTAGATGTGCTTTGTTTTTGTTTGTTTGTTGTTTAACACGGATCATCAGAAGCACAATGTTGATGTATGAATGATAAGATATGGAAGGGCCTGTTTCTGTTGTTTTTTTCAAATAACCTTGACGGCTGATATGGACAATGGGATATTTGTGACAAATTCTTGTCAGACCTAATGTTGGTTTTGAAAACGTACTGACTCACTCACTCACTTGTCCATTGTTGAGAGGGACGGTGGGGTAGCCCAGTGGTTGAAGCGTTCGCTCATCACCACGATGGCCCAACTTAGATTCCCCACTTGGGTAAAATGTGTGAAGCCCATTTCTAATGTCCCCTGCCGTGATGTTGCTGGAATATTGCAATGTAAAAGCGACGTAAAACCAGACTCGCTCACTCACTCGCTCACCCATCAAGTTTCAGAGTGAGCTGGCCCTGATGCCATCCAGGACGGTGTCCTCTCACTCACAGCAATGTCTTTGTACATCCTTCAAGACAAATATCGGTGCAGTCAGTGTCATGTAAGGTTACAGGAATAGAGAGATTGTGTTTGAAGTAGTTACGGTTGATTTTTGTGATGAAAATAAAGTTAGTTTTGTTTTTCAACTTTTGTGAATCTGTTTCAGTTTGAAACATCATTGCACTAAACTGTTGATAAAAAAAAATGTCCACCAAACACACACAACATTCTATCCATACACTGACATAATACTGTTCATTGACAGGGCTTTAAAAATTTACATTTAATTATTATAAATCTGTAACTTGATTTATTTACTATATTCCTGATATACTGACGATGTGACTTAAAATTTTAACTCGCTCATTGACAAACCAGTGCAAGTATATGGCTAGTACATCTCAGTCAATTCATGAGCATCGATCTATGCCTTTGATGGCGTGTGAACCAAGTCCGCAAACCTGACCCGGCCGCGTCATACCAAAAAAGATGTTAAAATATTCTACTTGTTGGTCCCTGCCTGGCGCTCAGCATTAATGGGTACAACAAGGACTGGTCGGCTCGGAGTCAGTATAATGTGTCTGAGTGGGGTATTCATGCTTAACTGCGGCATGGTATCTCAGTGGGCTAGCACTATAAAACCTGTTGAAGTCTGGGCTTGTACAAGCAGCCACACATACACACGCGTGCACTTCTTCAAATGAGCGAAATATTCTTAAGTACGACGTTAAAGCCCATTTCACCTTCCCTCACCTCGATCACATGAGATTCCTCTTATGACAAGCATGGGTTGCTGATGATCTATTAGAGTAAGTAAGTGAGTGAGTTGAATTTTACGCCATACTCGGCAATATTCCAGCTATATGGCGGCGGTCTGTAAATAATCGAGTCTGGACCAGACAATCCACTGATCGACAGCATGAGCATCGACCTGCGCAACTGGGAATCGAGGACATGGGTCAACCAAGCCAACGAGCCTGACCACCCGATCCCGTTAGTCGCCTTGGAGCTTCACGACAATCATGGGTTACTGAAGGTTCATTCTATCCCGGACCTTCACGGCTGACCACCTGATCCCGTTAGTCACCTTGGAGCTTCACGCGTCAGAGAAATTTAGAACTTGCAGTAACATATTGAGAGTATGTACAAGTCCATCGTCAGAACATGCCAGTACATCGACAGATGCCTGTAGATTGGCCGAACCTGCGAGTGCATTGACAGGGCATATCAATACATCGACAGATGCCTGTAGATTGGCCGAACCTGCGAGTACATAGACAGGACATATCAATACATCAACAGCATGGTTGATGAGTGAGTTAAAATTTAATGTCACCTCGGCAATATTTCAGCCCTATAGAGTGACGAGAAAAAATGTACATGGTTTATGCTTGCCACAGAACAGTGTTACTGTCGCTGAGTGCAATTCACGTACAGAAGGCTTTGTGGGATTTCTCCTCCCGCTGAGAATTCTGACGTAAATTTAAAATGTCAGCAATCTCAGACCGTTGGGGTAAGGTTGTCATGACGTCCCTGAGTTTAGGGTGTCGGCGTGTACAAGATCCAGGCGTGATTCAGGGGGAGCCTACCAGATCAAACACAGTAGGCTGTGATATACGACATTTCAAACTATACAAACAGATTTACAATCTGATAAACGAGAGGAAACTAAGCGTTCGACGTCATGCAGTTGGGCTACGTGTACGGCTACCGTAACAGTGGCCACACCACAAACAGGGCCCGGTTTGTTCTGTCACCCAAATAGCCCCCGAACAATTAAGGGTTGTTTATCGTCTCTGTGAAATTGTCAAATAAACCAACTTATCTGCGGTTATACATCAACACTACCCCCGCCCTACATTGCGTCGTATCCAGCGAACACATGTCACTGGTGCCTTAGTAACTCACAATGATCCACCCACTCAAGCCCAGTCCACCCGAAACACCCGATATTTATACCCCAGCCTGCAGCCACCCCGGCAGACAGCGCCTGCACCATGGACGTTCGGTCTGGAGCTCTGCTGGTATTACTTGCCGTCGCGGTCGCTGGCCAGAACGTCGACCTGACTGTGTCGCCGGGGTCGAAGGGAAAAGACGTCGTGGAGACGGTGGTGGACAGGATCCGTAGTAACTGCATCTTTCCCGAGGATAGGCTCTTTCTCCGGCGTCTGGCTTATGCGGAGTCCAAAGATGGCCAAGACCCCAAGACGTACAGGAAAGACTACCATGGGGGAATCTGGCAGGTGCGTGCATCAGAATACATGAAACATCATCTCCGTTATATCGAGTCGTTGTTGTGTAAAATGAGAGTGTTTCTTGTGCACGTGTTTGAACAATGTACACGTTACGTGTCAATGTAATGGCGGACGAGGTGACCGATTGGCAGTCGCAGCATATATACATAAGGTCATTGAGATATGGCTCTGTATGTCATCTGACTTTAAGATGTATTGTAGTTGGTCAGTTCAGGGTCGCCGTAAACGATGACTCGGCTCCATGTCGGCTCCAGATAACAGCAGGGGACAACTAATGGCCAACTTATTATATAAGGGTCATGGCGTCACGGCGGATAGTCCTACTTGTTTATCAGATGAACCACGGAGTAAGATGCCCGTTGAAAGGGGAATAATATACATCGAAACCTCATGAACTTTATTTAATAGATGTTGGCATCAATAAATATTTCTCTTTTGTGTAATCTCTTCAAAATGCCTTTAAAAAAAATGAAAAATGATTCTGGAAGATCTCCTCAGTATGTGAGATGGTCCTGCCACGATCAGTTCCCTAACGTTGGGACCGCCTCCGTGGTGTTGTGGTTAGAGCGTCCGCCCGGAGAGTGGAAGGTCGCAGGTTCGATCCCCGACCGCGTCATACCAAAAGACGTTAAAATATGGTACTTGTTGGTCCCTGCCTGGCGTTCGGCATTAATGGGTACAACAAGGACTGGTCGGCTCGGAGTCAGTATAATGTGTCTGAGTTGGGTATTCATGCTTCACTGCGGCATGGTATCTCAGTGGGCTAGCACTATAAAACCAGCTTAAGTCTGGGCTAGTACAAGCAGCCGCACATACACATACACGCATGCACGTCGTCATATGAGCGAAATATTCTCAAGCACGATGTTAAACCCAATTTCACCCTACCTCACCTCACCTCACCTCACCCTAACGTTGGGGTGGTACAACATGGATTTCAAACCCTCGGTAACCACGGTAACCGAGATGTGCACTGCGAGCGTCTTATGTGTTGCAGCAGCCACCAGTGACGGACACCACGACCACATCGTTGTTAGCGTGGGCAGGCGGATACACTGGTACATACGTGTATGCATACATACAGACGCAGACAGGCGTTCTTATACTCATTCAATCCTTCACCCTCCAGGTTGACGAGGCGAAGTTTAACGCCACCAGACGCTGCCCGTTCATCGTGTTCGAGGAATGCTCCCTGATCGAGTCGTCCTTCAACATCACATGGCAGGATACCAAGTGGCAGGACCTGAGGAAGCCCTTGTACTCTGGTCTGGCAGCATCCCTCTACATGCTCATCAGGCTGGGCTTCATCAACACCATGCCCGGCGACTTGGTGGGGCAGGCCGACACGTGGTCACACTACTACCACCTCGGCAGCCCTGACTCCGACTTCATCAGTGCCGCCAACTCCGTCAAGGACGGTATGGAAGCTGTACATATCTTAGATGGAATACCGTAGGCCTGAGACACTAGCAAGGCTAAAAATCTGTTGAGAGTTCAAACTAAACAATAAAGTTGGCGTTATCAGCATTATTTAGTGATGGCGAAAGGGCTCTATCCTGGGTGGAGTAGTGTAGGCCTTATTTAGTGATGGCGAAAGGGCTCTATCCTGGGTGGAGTAGTGTAGGCCTTATTTAGTGATGGCGATAGGGCTCTATCAAGGGCTGAGTAGTGTAGGCCTTATTTAGTGATGACGATAGGGCTCTATCCAGGGTTGAGTAGTGTAGGCCTTATTTAGTGATGGCGATAGGACTCTATCCAGGGTAGAGTAGTGTAGGCCTTTTTTTAGTGATGACGATAGGGCTCTATCCAGGGTCGAGTAGTGTGGGCCTATTTAGTGATGGCGATAGGGCTCTATCCAGGGTAGAGTAGTGTAGGCCTTATTTAGTGATGGCGATAGGGCTCTATCCAGGGTAGAGTAGAGTAGGCCTTATTTAGTGATGACGATAGGGCTCTATCCAGGGTAGAGTAGTGTAGGCCTTTTTTTAGTGATCACGATAGGGCTCTATCCAGGGTAGAGTAGTGTAGACCTTATTTAGTGATGACGATAGGGCTCTATCCAGGGTTGAGTAGTGTAGGCCTTATTTAGTGATGGCGATAGGACTCTATCCAGGGTAGAGTAGTGTAGGCCTTTTTTTAGTGATGACGATAGGGCTCTATCAAGGGTAGAGTAGTGTAGGCCTTTTTAGTGATGGCGATAGGGCTCTATCCAGGGTAGAGTAGCGTAGGCCTTATTTAGTGATGGCGATAGGGCTCTATCCAGGGTGGAGTAGTGTAGGCCTTATTTAGTGATGGCGATAGGGCTCTATCCAGGGTTGAGAATCGAAGGCCTTATTTAGTGATGGCGATAGGTCTCAATCCAGGGTAGAGTAGAGTAGGCCTTATTTAGTGATGACGATAGGGCTCTATCCAGGGTAGCGTAGTGTAGACCTTATTTAGTGATGGCAATAGGGCTCTATCAAGGGTAGAGTAGTGTAGGCCTTATTTAGTGATGGCGATAGGGCTCTATCCAGGGTAGCGTAGTGAAGACCTTATTTAGTGATGGCAATAGGGCTCTATCAAGGGTAGAGTAGTGTAGGCCTTATTTAGTGATGGCGATAGGGCTCTATCCAGGGTGGAGTAGAGTAGGCCTTATTTAATGATGACGATAGGGCTCTATCCAGGGTAGCGTAGTGTAGACCTTATTTAGTGATGGCAATAGGGCTCTATCAAGGGTAGAGTAGTGTAGGCCTTATTTAGTGATGGCGATAGGGCTCTATCCAGGGTAGAGTAGAGTAGGCCTTATTTAGTGATCACGATAGGGCTCTATCCAGGGTAGCGTAGTGTAGACCTTATTTAGTGATGGCGATAGGGCTCTATCCATTGTAGAGTAGTGTAGGCCTTATTTAGTGATGGCGATAGGGCTCTATCCAGGGTAGAGTAGAGTAGGCCTTTATTTAATGATGACGATAGGGCTCTATCCAGGGTCGGGTAGTGTAGGCCTATTTAGTGATGGCGATAGGGCTCTATCCAGGGTAGAGTAGCGTAGGCCTTATTTAGTGATGGCGATAGGGCTCTATCCAGGGTGGAGTAGTGTAGGCCTTATTTAGTGATGGCGATAGGGCTCTATCCAGGGTTGAGAATCGAAGGCCTTATTTAGTGATGGCGATAGGACTCTATCCAGGGTAGCGTAGTGTAGGCTCTATTCAGTGATGGCGATTGGGCTCAATCCAGGGTTGAGTAGTGTAGGACATTTATGATGGAGGACTTAGTCGGTGATGGACGTTAGGCTCTCTCTATGGTTGAGGTGAGTAGGCCGCAGTGTGATGGAGGTTAGGCTCTCTGTATGGTTGAGGTGAGACGGCCGCAGTGTGATGGAGGTTAGGCTCTCTCTATGGTTGAGATGAGTAGGCTGCAGTGTGATGGAGGTTAGGCTCTCTCTATGGTTGAGGTGAGACGGCTGCTGTGTGATGGAGGTTAGGCTCTCTCTATGGTTGAGGTGAGACGGCTGCAATGTGATGGAGGTTAGGCTCTCTCTATGGTTGAGGTGAGACGGCCGCAGTGTGATGGAGGTTAGGCTCTCTCTATGGTTGAGGTGAGACGGCCGCAGTGTGATGGAGGTTAGGCTCTCTCTATGGTTGAGGTGAGTAGGCCGCAGTGTGATGGAGGTTAGGCTCTCTCTATGGTTGAGGTGAGACGGCTGCAATGTGATGGAGGTTAGGCTCTCTCTATGGTTGAGGTGAGACGGCCGCAGTGTGATGGAGGTTAGGCTCTCTCTATGGTTGAGGTGAGACGGCCGCAGTGTGATGGAGGTTAGGCTCTCTCTATGGTTGAGGTGAGACGGCTGCAATGTGATGGAGGTTAGGCTCTCTCTATGGTTGAGGTGAGTAGGCCGCAGTGTGATGGAGGTTAGGCTCTCTCTATGGTTGAGGTGAGACGGCTGCAGTGTGATGGAGGTTAGGCTCTCTCTATGGTTGAGGTGAGACGGCTGCAGTGTGATGGAGGTTAGGCTCTCTCTATGGTTGAGGTGAGACGGCTGCAGTGTGATGGAGGTTAGGCTCTCTCTATGGTTGAGGTGAGACGGCCGCAGTGTGATGGAGGTTAGGCTCTCTCTATGGTTGAGGTGAGACGGCTGCAGTGTGATGGAGGTTAGGCTCTCTCTATGGTTGAGGTGAGACGGTTGCAGTGTGATGGAGGTTAGGCTCTCTCTGTGGTTGAGGTGAGACGGCCGCAGTGTGATGGAGGTTAGGCTCTCTCTGTGGTTGAGGTGAGACGGCTGCAGTGTGATGGAGGTTAGGCTCTCTCTATGGTTGAGGTGAGACGGCTGCAGTGTGATGGAGGTTAGGCTCTCTCTATGGTTGAGGTGAGTAGGCTGCAATGTGATGGAGGTTAGGCTCTCTCTATGGTTGAAGTGAGTAGGCTGCAGTGTGATGGAGGTTAGGCTGTCTATGGTTGAGGTGAGTAGGCCGCAGTGTGATGGAGGTTAGGCTCTCTACGGTTGAGGCGAGTAGGCCTTAGTCTGTGATGGAGGTTAGGCTCTCTCTATGGTTGAGATGAGTAGGCCATAGTGTGATGGAGGTTATTCTGTCTATGGTTGAGGTGAGACGGCCGTAGTGTGATGGAGGTTAGGCTCTCTCTATGGTTGAGGTGATGTGTAGGCCGAGGTGTGATGGAGGTTAGGCTCTCTGTGGTTGAGATCAGACGACCGCAGTGTGATGGAGGTTAGGCTTTGTCTATGGTTGAGGTGAGTAGGCCGCTGTGTGATGGAGGTTAGGTTTTCTCTATGGTTGAGGTGAGACGGCCGCAGTGTGATGGAGGTTAGGCATTCGACATCCTTGAAAAATAATCGTGTACATTATCAGTCATCAGTTGTGGTTAAGATGAGTAGGCCGCAGTGTGAAGGGGGTTAGGCTCTCTCTATGGTTGAGGTGAGTAGGCCGCAGTGTGATGGAGGTTAGGCTCTCTCTATGGTTAGGATGAGTAGGCCGCAGTGTGATGGAGGTTAGGCTCTCTCTATGGTTGAGGTGAGTAGGCCGCAGTGTGATGGAGGTTAGGCTCTCTCTATGGTTGAGGTGAGACGGCCGCAGTGTGATGGAGGTTAGGCTCTCTCTATGGTTGAGGTGAGTAGGCCGCAGTGTGATGGAGGTTAGGCTCTCTGTATGGTTGAGGTGAGTAGGCCGCAGTGTGATGGAGGTTAGGCTCTCTGTATGGTTGAGGTGAGTAGGCTGCAGTGTGATGGAAGTTAGGCTCTCTGTATGGTTGAGGTGAGTAGGCCGCAGTGTGATGGAGGTTAGGCTCTCTCTATGGTTGAGGTGAGTAGGCCGCAGTGTGATGGAGGTTAAGCTCTCTGTATGGTTGAGGTGAGTAGGCCGCAGTGTGATGGAGGTTAGGCTCTCTCTATGGTTGAGGTGAGTAGGCCGCAGTGTGATGGAGGTTAGGCTCTCTGTATGGTTGAGGTGAGTAGGCCGCAGTGTGATGGAAGTTAGGCTCTCTGTATGGTTGAGGTGAGTAGGCTGCAGTGTGATGGAAGTTAGGCTCTCTGTATGGTTGAGGTGAGTAGGCTGCAGTGTGATGGAAGTTAGGCTCTCTCTATGGTTGAGGTGAGTAGGCCGCAGTGTGATGGAAGTTAGGCTCTCTGTATGGTTGAGGTGAGTAGGCTGCAGTGTGATGGAAGTTAGGCTCTCTGTATGGTTGAGGTGAGACGGCCGCAGTGTGATGGAGGTTAGGCTCTCTCTATGGTTGAGGTGAGACGGCCGCAGTGTGATGGAGGTTAGGCTCTCTGTATGGTTGAGGTGAGTAGGCCGCAGTGTGATGGAGGTTAGGCTCTCTCTATGGTTGAGGTGAGTAGGCCGCAGTGTGATGGAGGTTAGGCTCTCTCTATCTTTGGGGTGAGTAGGCCGCAGTGTGATGGAGGTTAGGCTCTCTCTATCTTTGGGGTGAGTACGCCGCAGTGTGATGGAGGTTAGGCTCTCTCTATGGTTGAGGTGAGACGGCCGCAGTGTGATGGAGGTCAGGCTCTCTCTATGGTTGAGGTGAGTAGGCCGCAGTGTGATGGAGGTTAGGCTCTCTCTATGGTTGAGATGAGTAGGCTGCAGTGTGATGGAGGTTAGGCTCTCTCTATGGTTGAGGTGAGTAGGCCGCAGTGTGATGGAGGTCAGGCTCTCTCTATGGTTGAGGTGAGTAGGCCGCAGTGTGATGGAGGTTAGGCTCTCTCTATGGTTGAGATGAGTAGGCCGCAGTGTGATGGAGGTTAGGCTCTCTCTATGGTTGAGGTGAGTAGGCCGCAGTGTGATGGAGGTTAGGCTCTCTCTATGGTTGAGGTGAGACGGCCGCAGTGTGATGGAGGTTAGGCTCTCTATGGTTGAGGTGAGTAGGCCGCAGTGTGATGGAGGTTAGGCTCTCTATGGTTGAGGTGAGACGGCCGCAGTGTGATGGAGGTTAGGCTCTCTCTATGGGTTGAGATGAGTAGGCCGCAGTGTGTGATGGAGGTTAGGCTCTCTCTATGGTTGAGGTGAGTAGGCCGCAGTGTGATGGAGGTTAGGCTCTCTCTATGGTTGAGATGAGTAGGCTGCAGTGTGATGGAGGTTAGGCTCTCTGTATGGTTGAGGTGAGTAGGCCGCAGTGTGATGGAGGTTAGGCTCTCTCTATGGTTGAGATGAGTAGGCTGCAGTGTGATGGAGGTTAGGCTCTCTCTATGGTTGAGGTGAGACGGCCGCAGTGTGATGGAGGTTAGGCTCTCTCTATGGTTGAGATGAGTAGGCTGCAGTGTGATGGAGGTTAGGCTCTCTGTATGGTTGAGGTGAGTAGGCCGCAGTGTGATGGAGGTTAGGCTCTCTCTATGGTTGAGGTGAGACGGCCGCAGTGTGATGGAGGTTAGGCTCTCTCTATGGTTGAGATGAGTAGGCCGCAGTGTGATGGAGGTTAGGCTCTCTCTATGGTTGAGATGAGTAGGCCGCAGTGTGATGGAGGTTAGGCTCTCTCTATGGTTGAGGTGAGACGGTTGCAGTGTGATGGAGGTTAGGCTCTCTCTATGGTTGAGATGAGTAGGCTGCAGTGTGATGGAGGTTAGGCTCTCTGTATGGTTGAGGTGAGTAGGCCGCAGTGTGATGGAGGTTAGGCTGTCTATGGTTGAGGTGAGTAGGCCGCAGTGTGATGGAGGTTAGGCTCTCTCTATGGTTGAGATGAGTAGGCTGCAGTGTGATGGAGGTTAGGCTCTCTCTATGGTTGAGGTGAGTAGGCTGCAGTGTGATGGAGGTTAGGCTCTCTCTATGGTTGAGGTGAGTAGGCCGCAGTGTGATGGAGGTTAGGCTCTCTCTATGGTTGAGGTGAGTAGGCCGCAGTGTGATGGAGGTTAGGCTCTCTCTATGGTTGAGGTGAGACGGCCGCAGTGTGATGGAGGTTAGGCTCTCTCTATGGTTGAGGTGAGTAGGCCGCAGTGTGATGGAGGTTAGGCTCTCTCTATGGTTGAGGTGAGTAGGCCGTAATGTGATTTAGGTTAGGATCCATATAGGGTTGAGTAGAATAGGCTTTAGCTGGTGAGATTAGTCCTCTGGATGTTAGACCCCCTCAGTGATGACTGGCGGGTTATATATAGAGCTGAGTTGCTCATGCCTTAAGCAATGATGCCTGTTGGACTTTATCTGAGGTTGAGTAGAGTAGATCTAAGTCAGCTGGGGTGCTGTTCATCGGGCTCATCTCAGACACTGATGGCTATGCCATCTTTTTGAAGGCTATGTTGACGTGGGGGTTAGTACTTGATAGCGATGGAATCTGTTACCAGGTACATACTGTAACTGTTATCTGATCCCCTTCTTCTTGTCCTGTAGACTGTAAAGGGCAGCTGGACCTGGCGTTTATCATCGACAGCAGCGGCAGCATCTACTTCACCGACTACATCACTATGCTCATGTTCATACAAAACATCACCAGGGCTCTCGACTTCGGCCCGGACGCCACCCGCTTCGCCGCCGTCGTTTACGGGACTGCGTCGCGGGTGTCCTTCTACTTTAACACGTACTCCAACAAGTCTGAAGTCGTTGATGCCATCGCGCGTATCAAGAAGGATGACGGCGGCACCCACACATTTGATGCCATTGATCTGGCCAGTAGGTTCATCAAGAACTGTCATAACGTATGGTGGTTCTTGTGTACTGTGTTGTAGAAAACAAAATAGAGGAATTAGAGTATCTGGGCGTGAATCACAACATTCACGTGCTTTCATATGTATAGTGAGTGAGTGCGTGAGTGAGTGAGCGAGCGAGCGAGAATCGAACTTATGTTTTCGGGGTGACGAGCGAACGCTTTAACCACTAGACTACCCTACCGCCACTACAGAAACATAGCAACAGGCAGCAACACGAGCCTAGATATGTCCACGATGTAATGAGAACAATGCTTCCCAGGGGAGGCGGGGTAGCCTAGTTCCTATAGCGGTTGCTCGTCACCCCGGACCCGGGCTCGATTCCCCACATGGATACAATGTCTGAAGCCCACTTCTGGTGTCCCCAGCCGTGTTAATGCTTGAAAATTGCTAAAAGAGGCGTAAACCTTATCTCACTCACTCCGAAGGCAAGGGTTCGATTGTCGACGTGGCTGCATCGTAGTTAGAAGTCCCGGTTAAACCTAAGTGACCCAGCTGGAAAACTGCTAAATGTGTCGCTCGCTCACCCATCGAAATCTCTTCAAACACAGCTTACTTCACAACACGTCTTCTGTTACAGCTGATCACGTGTTCGACTCCAGAAACGGGGCCAGACCAGATGTACCAAAGGTGGCCATTTTGTTGACTGACGGGGCGTCTAATGATTTCAGCCTCACCGTTGAAGCTGCAGAGAGGGCAAAGCGCAAGGGCATCATATTCTTCACCGTCGGTACGTTGCACTACATGATGCTGATTGACTTGTCAAAGGACGTCTTACTTGACAATGATGTCACAAAACATAAGGTGATCTGACCATGACCTGACCTCACAAGGAACTGACCCTGATCTGTATAATACTTCACCATGTAACCACGTCCACTGTCGCTTTCCGGGTATTCATATGATGCTGATTTACTGTGTTCCCGCCCACTTTCAGTCCCCCTAATCAGAGACGCTGATTGATTGTGTTCCCGCCCACTTTCAGTCCCCCTAATCAGAGACGCTGATTTATTGTGTTCCCGCCCACTTTCGGTGCCCCTAATCAGAGACGCTGATTTACTGTGTTCCCACCCACTTTCGGTGCCCCTAATCAGAGACGCTGATTTACTGTGTTCCCGCCCACTTTCAGTGCTCCTAATCAGAGACGCTGATTAACTGTGTCCCCGCTTACCTCGGTGTCCCTAATCAGAGACGCTGATTTACTGTGTCCCCGCCAACTTTCAGTGCCCCTAATCAGAGACGCTGATTTACTGTGTTCCCGCCCACTTTCGGTGCCCCTAATCAGAGACGCTGATTTACTGTGTTCCCGCCCACTTTCAGTGCCCCTAATCAGAGACGCTGATTACTGTGTCCCCCCTTACCTCGGTGTCCAGCATCAGAGACGCTGATTTATTGTGTTCTCGCTTACCTCGGTGTCCAGGATCAGAGACGCTGATTTATTGTGTTCTCGCTTACCTCGGTGTCCAGGATCAGAGACGCTGATTTATTGTGTTCCCGCCCACTTTCAGTCCCCCTAATCAGAGACGCTGATTTATTGTGTTCCCGCCCACTTTCAGTCCCCCTAATCAGAGACGCTGATTTATTGTGTTCCCGCCCACTTTCGGTGCCCCTAATCAGAGACGCTGATTTACTGTGTTCCCACCCACTTTCAGTGCCCCTAATCAGAGACGCTGATTACTGTGTCCCCCCTTACCTCGGTGTCCAGCATCAGAGACGCTGATTTATTGTGTTCTCGCTTACCTCGGTGTCCAGGATCAGAGACGCTGATTTATTGTGTTCTCGCTTACCTCGGTGTCCAGGATCAGAGACGCTGATTTATTGTGTTCCTGCCCACTTTCAGTCCCCCTTATCAGAGACGCTGATTTATTGTGTTCCCGCCCACTTTCGGTGCCCCTAATCAGAGACGCTGATTTACTGTGTTCCCACCCACTATCGGTGCCCCTAATCAGAGACGCTGATTTACTGTGTTCCCGCCCACTTTCAGTGCCCCTAATCAGAGACGCTGATTAACTGTGTCCCCGCTTACCTCGGTGCCCCTAATCAGAGACGCTGATTTACTGTGTCCCCGCCAACTTTCAGTGCCCCTAATCAGAGACGCTGATTTACTGTGTTCCCGCCCACTTTCGGTGCCCCTAATCAGAGACGCTGATTTACTGTGTTCCCGCCCACTTTCAGTCCCCCTAATCAGAGACGCTGATTTATTGTGTCCCCTCCCACTTTTGGTGCCCCTAATCAGAGACGCTAATTTATTGTGTTCCCACCCACTTTCAGTCCCCCTAATCAGTGACGCTGATTAACTGTGTCCCCGCCCCCTTTCAGTGCCCCTAATCAGTGACGCTGATTTATTGTGTTCCCGCCCACTTTCGGTGTCCTTAATCAGAGACGCTGATTTACTGTGTCCCCTCCCACTTTCAGTGCCCCTAATCAGAGACGCTGATTACTGTGTCCCCGCTTACCTCAATGTCCAGGATCAGAGACGCTGATTTATTGTGTTCCCGCCCACTTTCGGTGCCCCTAATCAGAGACGCTGATTTATTGTGTTCCCACCCACTTTCAGTCCCCCTAATCAGTGACGCTGATTAACTGTGTCCCCGCTCCCTTTCAGTGCCCCTAATCAGAGACGCTGATTTACTGTGTCCCCTCCCACTTTCAGTGCCCCTAATCAGAGACGCTGATTTACTGTGTTCCCGCCCACTCTTTCTGCAGGTATCGGCTCCATCAACCGACGAGAGCTGCAGGCTGTAGCCTCGGACCCCAACTGTACGCATGTGTTCGTCCTGGAGAACTTCTCAGAGATCGACAGTCTCCTCAATGAGATGAGGAAAGGTTCCTGCTCAGGTGAGACACTGACAGCTGTAGTATTTTAACACAATGGCCAGTTTCGGTAGCCTGTAAATGAGTTCAATCAGGTGAGACACTGACAGCTGTAGTATTTTAACACGATAGCCAGTTTCGGTAGCCTGTAAATGAGTTCAATCAGGTGAGACACTGACAGATGTAATATGTTAACACAATAGCCAGTTTCGGTAGCCTGAAAGTGATTAATACCATAAACAACAAGCAGGGCGGTCTGGAAAACTTCACGACTTCAGATTTAGTCGTCTTAAGTACAAGCTCAAGGAATTGGGAACGTTTGTCAGACTGAATTTGAACATTTCAGCTCCCATCGTCTATAGCAACATCACCATGAACGCCAACACAACGATCGTCAAGCAACTCATGCCCAACATCACCGAGAAGACCACCATCAAGATTGATCACGAGTGGCACTTTCAGTCCGGAGGGGGAGATGTTGTGGTAGGTTCTGGTGTTTATGTCCCGGAGTGTTGTGTTTGGGGTAGGGGGTGGAGATGTTGTAGGTGCACGTGTTTATGTCGCGGAGTGTTGGGTTCGGGGTGGGGGTGGAGATGTTGTGGTAGGTTCTGGTGTTTATGTCCCGGAGTGTTGGGGTGGGGGATGGGGAGTGTAGATGATGTGGTAGGTGCACGTGTTTATGTCCCGGAGTGTTGGGTTTGGGGTAGGGGTGTGTGGGGATGTTGTGGTAGGTTCTGGTGTTTATGTCCCGGAGTGTTGGGGTGGGGGTGGGGTGTTGTGGTAGGTTCTGGTGTAGGTCCCGGAGGTCCCGGAGTGTTGATATGTGGTAGGTGTTTGGGGTAGGGGTGGGGTGGAGATGTTGTGGTAGGTGCACGTGTTTATATCCCGGAGTGTTGGGTTCGGGGTGGGGGTGGAGATGTTGTGGTAGGTTCTGGTGTTTATGTCCCGGAGTGTTGGGGTCGGGGGTGGGGGGTGGAGATGTAGTGGTAGGTAATGGTGTTTATGTCCCGGAGAGTTGGGGTGGGAGTGGGATGTCGTGTTTGTTAGGTTGCAGTGGTGTTCACGTCTAAAAGAAATTCAGGTTGATGTCCCAGTTGCCAGATCGATGTATGACGTGATTATAATCACTCAGTTCGAGCAAATGTCATGAAACCATTATTTCCATGGCCCTATTATTTTATGAGTATTAATAAAACAAAATTCCCTCGATCATGTGGGGAATCGAACCCTGGTCTTCGGCGTGAAGGGCGAACACCTTAACCAATAGGCTACCTCGCCGACCCACCCAATGGCAACTGGAGATGTCATTTCTGAGGAGCGTTTCTTGATCACTTATCAGCTTGTATAAATTAAACCGCAAGGGAAATGTTAATTCGAAAAACACGACTGAGCTAATCCTTAGAACTAGCGGGCGGTGGGGTAGTCAAGTGGTTAAAGCGTTGGCTCGTCACGCCGAAGACCCGGGTTCGAATCCCCACATGGGTACAATGTGTGAAGCCCATTTCTGGTGTCCCCGCCGTGATGTTGCTGGAATATTGCTAAAAGCGGCGTAAAACCAAACTCAGTCAGTCAGTCAGCCTTAGAACTAAATACCATTACTTTCATGCTGCTATTCACACTCTTTATCAATTGTCCTTGACCTTGACAGAAGGCGGAAGTGACGTGTGGTATCCTGGATATCTACACGTCATTTGAGACACCCAATCCCGGCCCAGCTTTCTTTAACCACAAGTTCTCTGCTACCGACGGCCAGCCGGCCATCATCTCCCTGGGCGCCTCCCATGACGGCAGGCCCCTCTACGTCACCATCATCGGCACCAAACTTCCCGACTCCGCCTCGGGGCTCCTTAAATGCCAGGACGCCAAGTACTCAGTGTCTGTAGACAAGAAGCTAGGTAATTCAGCACTCCAGTATGCTGCGTGATGGTTGTGATTTTGTAAATGGTTGGCTGCATCATGTATGAAGACCTCCTCTCCGGATGGCACCTTGCTTTGTACAAGAACTCAGTCAGTAATACAACACACTTGATATGCATGTGCAACTTCTATATTATTTACACACGACGTTTCTAGGCTAATACGTGCCCCTTCAGCAGGAGAATGGCAGTCAGTAGTTACAGAAGTATACATAGTACGTACAGGAAGTCACAGAGTTGTGGCACATACTATATATACTCTATATACCTCTGTAACCATACAACTCTGTGGCTTCCTGTAATACTCTATATCCCTCTGTAACTATACAACTCTGTGGCTTCCTGTAATACTCTATATACCTCTGTAACCATACAACTCTGTGGCTTCCTGTAATACTCTAGTACCTCTGTAACTATACAACTCTGTGGCTTCCTGTAATACTCTATATCCCTCTGTAACTATACAACTCTGTGGCTTCCTGTAATACTCTGTATCCCTCTGTAACTATACAACTCTGTGGCTTCTTGTAATACTCTATATACCTCTGTAACCATACAGCTCTGTTGCTTCCTGTAATACTCTATATCACTCTGTAACTATACAACTCTGTGGCTTCCTGTAATACTCTATATCCCTCTGTAACTATACAACTCTGTGACTTCCTGTAATACTCTATATCCCTCTGTAACTATACAACTCTGTGACTTCCTGTAATACTCTATATCCCTCTGTAACCATACAACTCTGTGGCTTCCTGTAATACTCTAGTACCTCTGTAACTATACAACTCTGTGGCTTCCTGTAAGACTCTATATACCTCTGTAACTATACAACTCTGTGGCTTCCTGTAAGACTCTATATCCCTCTGTAACTATACAACTCTGTGGCTTCCTGTAAGACTCTATATACCTCTGTAACTATACAACTCTGTGGCTTCCTGTAAGACTCTATATACCTCTGTAACTATACAACTCTGTGGCTTCCTGTAATACTCTATATACCTCTGTAACTATACAACTCTGTGGCTTCCTGTAAGACTCTATATACCTCTGTAACTATACAACTCTGTGGCTTCCTGTAAGACTCTATATCACTCTGTAACTATACAACTCTGTGGCTTCCTGTAAGACTCTATATCACTCTGTAACTATACAACTCTGTGGCTTCTTGTAAGACTCTATATCCCTCTGTAACTATACAACTCTGTGGCTTCTTGTAAGACTCTATATACCTCTGTAACTATACAACTCTGTGGCTTCCTGTAAGACTCTATATCACTCTGTAACTATACAACTCTGTGGCTTCCTGTAAGACTCTATATACCTCTGTAACTATACAACTCTGTGGCTTCCTGTAAGACTCTATATCACTCTGTAACTATACAACTCTGTGGCTTCCTGTAATACTCTATATCCCTCTGTAACTATACAACTCTGTGACTTCCTGTAAGACTCTATATACCTCTGTAACTATACAACTCTGTGGCTTCCTGTAAGACTCTATATACCTCTGTAACTATACAACTCTGTGGCTTCCTGTAAGACTCTATATCCCTCTGTAACTATACAACTCTGTGGCTTCTTGTAAGACTCTATATACCTCTGTAACTATACAACTCTGTGGCTTCCTGTAATACTCTATATACCTCTGTAACTATACAACTCTGTGGCTTCCTGTAAGAATCTATATCCCTCTGTAACTATACAACTCTGTGGCTTCCTGTAAGACTCTATATCACTCTGTAACTATTGACTGCTATTCACCTGATAAAGGGACAAGTATTAGCCCAGAAACGTCGTGTGTAAATACTGAAGAAGTTGCACATCCATATCAAGTGTGTTGTATTACCCTACCAACTTCTAAATGCCCATCAAACATCTCCTAGTCAGTAGTGGACAGAGGGCCTACATTGGTTGTGGTACATGTCTGTTGTGTGTTGCAGACATCCAAATACTGTGCAGGGAAAACGGTGTGTTAAGAAACTGCACGAAACAGGACTACATCCATGCAGAGGTGAAGACTCTCATCTGTGACGGCAGTACGTATAAATAGGTTATGTGTGACTCATCTGTGACTACAGTACGTATCAATATATCATGTGTGACTCATCTGTGACACCAGTACGTATCAATATATCATGTGTGACTCATCTGTGACACCAGTACGTATCAATATATCATGTGTGACTCATCTGTGACACCATTACGTATCAATATATCACGTGTGACTCATCTGTGACATCAGTACGTATCAATATATCATCTGTGCCAACAGTACGTATCAACATATTATGTATGACTCATCTGTGCATTTCTCAACAGCTCACTACGTAGTTAATGGTTCATGGCAGTGGGGTGCCCCCCACGTGTCAGTGGTGTGTTTTCGGGGAGCGCACTGTGGGTAGCTATATCCGCCGTCGGCGCCATACCAACAGATTTCAAAAGATGATACTTATTCTGTTAGAAGTTGCAAGCAATAGGAATGACACGTCTTTATGGATGATCAGCTTCTTTATCGTACAATAGCAACGTTACGGTAAAGCTATTTCTACCGTGTTGAAGCATGGAGTGGTGAATGGATGGATGCACACACCTGTCGCCACCTAATCGCACCTAACATCGCAGTTGTCTCCCCTGTTTTTCAAACTTATATCTGATCATTCCAGATACCTGGGGCGACCTCGCCAACCCCTGCACCCCCGACAGCATCAACAACGGCGTGTTCGTCCACCCTCACCCGTTTGACTCCAGCATGTTCATCAAGTGCGACCTGACCGGGAAGATGTATGTCACCATGTGCCCCGGCCACGACATCTTCAACAAGGTGAACGGCGTGATGGACGGCCCCTGTCCCACAGGCCCTCGTGTCTTTGCGAAGATTAAAGATTTGAAAAACAAGATTGTTTTATGATGACCCCCGACTCGAAATACTCCACAGTACAATACATAGTGACAAGGCCGGACACTTCGGTGTACCCCGTCCGCCTGCTTTGCCGATCGCTACGCTATCATCGCATGTAATCGATGAAAACTTAATGTAAACATAATCATGGATGATTGGAGTATCGATCACCACTCATGACACCTACCAATTCTTTATTGTTATTTCTGCAAGTCGACAGAAACCCGATTTGACCCTCAACTAAACGATCTGGACACAAATGGATGACGATATATCCGCACAAAACGGGTGTGTGGTCGAAGCAAGCCCTCTGGTTGGTTGATGTTTGTTAAGGAGACATTTACAGCTGATGCTTTCTTTTGAGCAACCATTGCTCAAAAAATGTTCTAACATTAAGCAGTCAATGAAAGAAAAATTGCCGCGAATGTATAAAGAATGTGCAGATTTGCAAGCGTTGACCAATCACGAGTCGGGGGTCATCTAAAAAATGTATTTATTTTTTTAATCTTTAATCTTCTCAAAGACACGAGGGCCTGAGACCTGTCCCTGCTTCCACAGGAGTGTCTGAATTTGTTCTTGGAGTAGATTTGTGGAGCTGGACCTAACACAGATCGGACCAAAAAAATCACTTGATTTTCGAAGAGAAAATCGAAGTGTTTGATAAACGCTGCCATGTCATCCTGCCCATGTATAATAGTCTGATGTAAAGTCAGTGAAAGCTCGCTTCAAGGATGTAACAGTATTGTAACGTCACATTACTTTTTCCAGAACCCGTGAAGATCCGAATTAGAACTGATCTTCAGTAACCTTCTTCAGTGCTTCTTACAGACCGCCGACATATAACTGGAATATTGTTGAGTGCGGCGTAAAACTAAACTCACTCACTCGCTTTTTCCAGAACGTCATGGTGTTTAGGACTAAGATCATAACAGAAATATACTCTCCCAAAAAAGAAACGCATCATGAAAATAGCAATTTCATGTAGCAATGAATTAAAACGTGATTCATTTCACAAAAGGTTTTCCTCTGTTTATGAGTCCTATGGTGTTTATGTTTTGAAACATCACAACAAAACGCACCAACCGGAAAATACCCGTATTTAACAGCATGATTTTCAATTTCGGCGTGTATTGTCACAGAATACACAATTCACATACACATACACACGCATGCACGTCGTCTTATGAGCGAAACATTCTCAAGCACGACGTTAAACCCAATTTCACCTCACCTCACCTCAAACTGACTTTCCTCGAGTGCCAAAGACGGATAAGTCTGCATTCCCAGTGTGCAATTTCGCTATATTTCATTGATTCATAAAGCCTACAAGATGTTTCAAAATAAACATAAAAATACAGTTGAAATTCCTATATGCGTTTCTTTTTGGGAGTGTATATAAACGTCTCATCAATCTGAACACTGCTATAGTACAGTATTATGGGTGTGATAGTCACATCAAATCATCACACGAATTCTTCCTGATCACGTGGTCATCTGCACGTCGCATTTCTTCTTCAGTATGTCTGGGTGGATTCAGGGTAGGTGGTGTTTGTCTGGGTTGATTCAGGGTAGGTAGTGTATGTCTAGGTGGATTCAGGGCAGGTAATTTATGTGTGCGTGGATTCAGGGTAAGTAATGTATGTCTAGGTGGATTCAGGGCAGGTAATGTATGTCTAGGTGGATTCAGGGCAGGTAATTTATGTGTGCGTGGATTCAGGGTAAGTAATGTATGTGTGGGTGGATTCAGGGCAGGTAGTGTATGTGTGGGTGGATTCAGGGCATGTGTGGGTGGATTCATGGGTAGGATGTGTTTGTCTGTGTGGATTCAGGGTAGGTAATATATGTTTGGGAAGATTCAAGGAAGGTAATGTATGTCTTGGTGTATTCAGGGTAGGTGGTGTTTGTCAGGGTGGATTCAAGGAAGGTCATGTATTTCTTGGTGGATTCAGGGTAGGTAACGTGTGTCTTGGTGTATTCAGGGTAGGTGGTGTTTGTCAGGGTGGATTCAGGCTAGTTAATGTATGTCTGGCTGGATCGAGGGTAGGTAATGTATGTCTGGGTGGATTTAGGGTAGGTGGTATTTGTCAGGGTGGATTCAGGGTAGGTGGTGTTTCTCAGGATGGATTCACGGTAGTTAATGTATGTTGGATGGATTCAGGGTAGGTAATGTATGTCTGGGTGGATTCAGGGTAGGTAATGTATGTCAGGGTGGACTCAGGGAAGGTAATGTATGTCTGGGTGGATTCAGGGTAGGTAATATATGTCTGGGTGGATTCAGGGCAGGTAGTGTATGTCTGGGTGGATTCAGGGTAGGTAATTTATGTTTGGGTGGACTCAGGGTAGCTAATGTATGTCTGGGTGGATTCAGGGCAGGTAATGTATATCTGGGTGGATTCAGGATAGGTAATGTATGTCTGGGTGGATTCAGGGACGGTAATGTATGTGTGGGTGGATTCAGGGTAGGTAGTGTATGTGTGGGTGGATTCATGGTAGGTCATGTATGTCAGGGTGGATTCAGAGTAGGTGGTGTATGTCTGGGTGGATTCAGGGCAGGTAATGTATGTCTGGGTGGATTCAGGGTAAGTAATGTATGTCTGGATGGATTCAGGGATGGTAGTGTATGTGTGGGTGGATTCATGGTAGGTAATATATTTCTAGGTGGGTTCAGGGCAGGTGATGCATGTCTGGGTAGATTCAGGGTAAGTAATGTATGTCTGGATGGATTCAGGGAAGGTAGTGTATGTGTGGGTGGATTCATGGTAGGTAATATATTTCTAGGTGGGTTCAGGGTAAGTAATGTATGTCTTGGTGGATTCAGGGTAGTGGATGTTTGTCTGGGTGGATTCAGGGCAGGTAGTGTATGTCTGGGTGGATTTAGGGTAGGTATTGTCTATCTGGGTGGATTCAGTGTAGGTAATGTATGTTTGGGTGGATTCAGGGTAGGTAATGTTTGTCTGGGTGGATTCAGGGTTAGTAATGTATGTCATGGTGGATTCAGGGTAGGTAATGTATGTCTTGGTGGATTCAGGGCAGGTAGTGTATGTCTGGGTGGATTCAGGGTAGGTAATGCATGTGTGGGTGGATTCATGGGTAGGTAATGTTTGTCTGTGTAGATTCAAGGAAGGTAATGTATGTCTTGGTGTATTCAGGGTAGGTGGGGTTTGTCAGGGTGGATTCAAGGTAGGTAATGTATTTCTTGGTGGAGTCAGGGTAGGTAACGTGTGTCTTGGTGGAGTCAGGGTAGGTGGTGTTTGTCAGGGTGGATTCAAGGTAGGTCATGTATTTCTTGGTGGAGTCAGGGTAGGTAACGTGTGTCTTGGTGTATTCAGGGTAGGTGGTGTTTGTCAGGGTGGATTCAGGCTAGTTAATGTATGTCTGGCTGGATCGAGGGTAGGTAATGTATGTCTGGGTGGATTTAGGGTAGGTGGTATTTGTCAGGGTGGATTCAGGGTAGGTGGTGTTTCTCAGGATGGATTCACGGTAGTTAATGTATGTTTGGGAAGATTCAACGTAGGTTATGTATGTCAGGGTGGATTCGGGGTAGGTGATGTTTGTCTGGGTGGATTCAGGGTAGGTAATGTATGTTTGGGAAGATTCAAGGTAGGTAATGTATTTCTTGGTGGATTCAAGGTAGGTAATGTGTGTCTGGGTGGATTCAGGGTAGGTGGTGTTTGTCAGGGTGGATTCAGGGTAGGTAATGTATGTCTGGGTGGATTCAAGGTAGGTAATGTGTGTCTTGGTGGATTCAGGGTAGGTGTTATTTGTCAGGGTGGATTCAGGGTAGGTGGTGTTTCTCAGGATGGATTCAGGGTAGTTAATGTATGTTTTGGACGATTCAACGTAGGTAATGTGTGTCTGGGTGGAATCGGGGTAGGTGGTGTATGTCTGGGTGGATTAAGGGGTAGGTAATGTATGTTTGGGAAGATTCAAGGTAGGTAATGTATTTCTTGGTGGATTCAAGGTAGGTAATGTGTGTCTGGGTGGATTCAGGGTAGGTGGTGTTTGTCAGGGTGGATTCAGGGTAGGTAATGTATGTCTGGGTGGATTCAAGATAGGTAATGTGTGTCTTGGTGGATTCAGGGTAGGTGTTATTTGTCAGGGTGGATTCAGGGTAGGTGGTGTTTCTCAGGATGGATTCAGGGTAGTTAATGTATGTTTTGGACGATTCAACGTAGGTAATGTGTGTCTGGGTGGAATCGGGGTAGGTGGTGTATGTCTGGGTGGATTAAGGGGTAGGTAATGTATGTTTGGGAAGATTCAAGGTAGGTAATGTATTTCTTGGTGGATTCAATACAGGTAATGTGTGTCTGGCTCGGATTCAGGGTAGGAGGTGTTTGTCAGGGTGGATTCAGGGTAGGTAATGTATGTCTGGGTGGATTAAGGGTAGGTAATGTATGTCTGGGAGGATTCAAGGTAGGTAATGTGGGTCTGGGTGGATTCAGGGTAGGTGGTGTTTGTCAGGGTGGATTCAGGGTAGGTAATGTATGTTTTGGAAGATTCAGTTAAGGTAATGTATGTCTGGGTGGATTCAGGGTAGGTAATAAAGGAAAGGTGTTCTCTGTTTCAGGAAACTATGTCGTGTGGGTTTGCAAGCGTTTCCGTCCAGAGCGGGGGCACACTCCTCCCCTCCAACATCCAGAATCCCTGCACACCCCAGATGATACAGAAGGACGAATTCTTCTTCCCCTACCCCCAGGAGAAACACACGTTTATCCACTGTGACGTGTGGGGCGGTGCCTGGGTACAGCACTGCGACACCAACTTCCTCTGGAACGACATCGCGAAGACGTGCGTGGCCGACTTCCTCCATGAGTTCGACCCGTCCACACCCCAGCCTGTCACTGTCCACAACCCATGTGTGGCGGGGTCTGCTATTATGTTCTACCCACATCCTGACCAGTCCAAGTTTATACATTGTGACGTGGCAGGCAACTATTGGGTACAGTCGTGTCCTCTGGGCATGCGCTATGAGCCCACTGCCTACGTGTGTGTCACGTAAAGAAGGCGATTTAATTGTCGGTAATATGCTCCTGTCAATAAATATAAAATCCCTGATTTCGTGTCAATGTCAATTTATTGCGTGTTATACAAATTACCAACATCGTGAGGTACGTGACGACTCTAAATGTCACGTGAACAATGAACACGTGAACAGAATTAAATAGGCTCAGGCTGTGCAGCGCCTCAATATTAACATATGTTGAATAGGAAAAATCCACCGAAATGTTATTATGTACATGCAAGCAGAAGAGTGACAGTGTTACTGCAAAATAGGATGTCACTGGTCATGCCAGCTAAGTCAGTGAAAATATTTCCCAAGCAACAACAGTTTTTAAGCTTTTTGAAATGAGTGAGTGAGTGAGTTTAGTTTACGCCGCACTCAGCAATATTCCAGATATATGCGGCTGTCTGTAAATATTCGAGTCTGGACCAGACAATCCAGTGATCAACAGCATGACCATCTATCTACGCAACTGGGAACCGATGACATGTGTCAACAAAGTCAGCGAGCCTGACCACTCGATCCCGTTAGTCGCCTCTTACGACAAGCATGGGTTGCTGAAGATCAATGCTAACCCGGATCTTGACGGGTTTCTTCATGAAATGGCTCAGGCAGTATATGAGTGAGTGAGTGAGTTAACATTTACAGTGACATCTTCAACATTTCAGCCATGTCGTGAGTAAAAGAAGTTTGAATTCGCCATAAATATATGTACATTACAAGTTTAGTGCGAGCTAGGATGCCGGTGGTCATGTCAACTAAGTCAGTGGTAATATTTACCAAGCAGCATGTACTCTGTAACAGGACAGTAAAACAACTAGATTATCGCAGTTATGAACATAAAACTAGTATGTAAATTTATTATATTTTAACTACAGAAGACATTACAATATATTAAAATAAAACAGGTTATAAATTGCCAACAGCCGAAAGTAGATCAACATCCTATGGAATGGTTGGATATGAAGGAGTATCGACAATCTTCACACACTTGCTGTTCTTGACGTAACGTCATATGGTATGTGTTTGCCAATTAATTACACGCTTCCAGAAATGATTTTATCGGGTGTCCCAAAAAAATGTAACCCGGTTTTTGACAAGTATTTTCTCAGCGATAGATAAACCGAATTTGTTAAAAAAAAATCACAGAGTAACCATAGGGTATCTTCAACATGTCTACAACATATCTACAACATATCTACAACATATCTAAGGGATTGGTCACTGATTTTATGAGAGTATTGTCAAATTCAAAACAGCATGTCCAAAAATATGGGACTCTCTAAAGGAGAAAGTTTACCAATGTGGGAGAGACAGATTGACCGAGCAGGCGTTAAAGGACAGGATAATTATGCCATGGGAGGAGATGTCGGTGGAAGAAATACGTAAAAGCCTTTCTGCTTGGAAGAAACGGCTTCGTTTAGTTGTGGAGGAAGATGGAGGCCACACTGAGCATAGACTGAAATCAGTGAGTTTTCCCATATGGCATTGCATTTTTTCAGGGTTACTTTGTGAAAGTTTAAAGAAATTCAGTTTATCTATCACTGATAAAATACTTGTCAAAAACCGGTTCACTTATTGGGGGACACCCGATATATAATGCTGGATATCTTTATTTACGCGGTATCGCCCATGATCTAATGGTAGCAACTGTCACAACATTACCATGTCCACAATTGTTTGTCCAGAATCAATTATGTCATTGTCACTGTGCACGTCACTCCACGTACCAGCAGACACACCTGTGAACATATTAGAGAGGTTACAGATAGTCACAACTCGGTCCAAACTGTCTATATGAACATATGTTACAGGTTACAGATAGTCACAGCTCGGTCTCAACTGCCTTTATGAACATGTGTTACAGGTTACAGATAGTCACAGCTCGGTCCAAACTGTCTATATGAACATATGTTACAGGTTACAGATAGTCACAGCTCGGTCCAAAATGTCTATATGAACATATGTTAAAGGTTACAGATAGTCACAGCTTGGTCCGAACTGTCTATATGAACATATGTTACAGGTTACAGATAGTCACAGCTTGGTCCGAACTGTCTATATGAATATATGTTACAGGTTACAGATAGTCACAGCTTGGTCCGAACTGTCTATATGAACATATGTTACAGGTTACAGATAGTCACAGCTTGGTCCGAACTGTCTATATGAACATATGTTACAGGTTACAGATAGTCACAGCTTGGTCCGAACTGTCTATATGCACATATGTTACAGGTTACAGATAGTCACAGCTCGGTCCAAACTGTCTATATGAACATATGTTAAAGGTTACAGATAGTCACAGCTTGGTCCGAACTGTCTATATGAACATATGTTACAGGTTACAGATAGTCACAGCTCGGTCCAAACTGTCTATATGAACATGTGTTACAGGTTACAGATAGCCACAGCTCGGTCCAAACTGTCTATATGAACATATGTTAAAGGTTACAGATAGTCACAGCTCGATCTCAACTGTCTATATGAACATATGTTACAGGTTACAGATAGTCACAGCTCGGCCTCAACTGTCTATATGAACATGTGTTACAGGTTACAGATAGTCACAGCTCGGTCCAAACTGTCTATATGAACATATGTTAAAGGTTACAGATAGTCACAGCTCGATCTCAACTGTCTATATGAACATATGTTACAGGTTACAGATTGTCACAGCTCGGCCTCAACTGTCTATATGAACATGTGTTACAGGTTACAGATAGTCACAGCTCGGTCCAAACTGTCTATATGAACATATGTTACAGGTTACAGATAGTCACAGCTCGCTCCAAACTGTCTATATGAACATATGTTACAGGTTACAGATAGTCACAGCTCGATCTCAACTGACTATATGAACATATGTTACAGGTTACAGACAGTCACAGCTCGGTCTCAACTGCCTATATGAACATATTGTAGAGATTACAGATAGTCACAGCTCGATCTCAACTGACTATTTGAACATATTGTAGAGATTACAGATAGTCACAGCTCGATCTCAACTGTCAATATGAACATATGTTACAGGTTACAGATAGTCACAGCTCGGCCTTAACTGTCTATATGAACATGTGTTACAGGTTACAGATAGTCACAGCTCGGTCCAAACTGTCTATATGAACATATGTTAAAGGTTACAGATAGTCACAGCTCGATCTCAACTGTCTATATGAACATATGTTACAGGTTACAGATAGTCACAGCTCGGCCTCAACTGTCTATATGAACATATGTTACAGGTTACAGATAGTCACAGCTCGGTCCAAACTGTCTATATGAACATATGGTACAAGTTACAGATAGTCACAGCTCGGTCCAAACTGTCTATATGAACATATGTTACAGGTTACAGATAGTCACAGCTCGATCTCAACTGTCTATATGAACATATGTTACAGGTTACAGATAGTCACAGCTTGGTCACAACTGTCTATATGAACATATGTTACAGGTTACAGATAGTCACAGCTCGATCTCAACTGCCTATATGAACATATTGTAGAGATTACAGATAGTCACAGCTACGGTTTCAACTGCCTTTTTAAACATATGTTACAGGTTACAGATAGTGTTTAACATGTCACATGCATGAGCAAAATTTGAAAGAATTCGATTGAAAAGTTTAGAAGATATTGTTGTCCTAAACTTCAAGATAGAATTTCTCGAAAATAGGTTTTTGTGACTTAGTACACTCTGGTTTTCAGGGGACGAACTGTGATGAAGAAACTGACCCAGACGTTCTCCTCGACTTTCACTTTCACTCAGCTCTCTTCTTGATGTCGGCCATGTCAACTTAACAGCCGTTTATAACCATTGATGCAGTGTCTCATACACAAACACAGCAAATCTAGATTACTCTACCAGCGACGATCCAACATGAACTGAACTCTGTGTCTCTCGCCCATGTGACAGCGCACCGGCACTCACACATATAGATTCTGAGCCAGTAGTATATACAATGGGGGTTCTGGATCACTTTCAACCAAAGCCTCTGCAAAGCCTTATTTCACAAGTAAGGCTTTGGTCGGACCTTTAGCTCTTGCTGCCATTACCCCTACTACAAAAGTTGGGGATGCGAACGCACCTCCTAGCCGCGCTACCGGGGGCATGGGGGAAGTAATGGGACACCGCTATGCTGGAGGTAACACTGTACCGTACGGTACGATCAATAATTCTTCTCTCACAAACCCCCTACCTGGCCCATCCCTCAAGTAGTACAAGTTAGGCTCGTCTGCTTTGATGTCCACTTTATCTATGTTGTAAGTTTTGACTGACCATATAGGATCGGTGGCTCGCTTACGGCTATCACCCTCGTGTTCCCCCGGCTGGTATAGATACCTCACTAGGGCCCTATCTGGTATCTGTTTCTCCTTCCCACGCAATGGAGCAGCCGACTCTGCAACTATTGATTTTAGTTTGATAGCATCTGCGGTTTCTTATCAGTGAGCGGGTGACTTCATGGTTGATTGCCGACACCACCTTGGGTAACCTCGTGACCCATTCAGTCGATCGTTTTCCGGGGTTACCATCTCCCTCGCATACTGATGACCGAATAATCGGCTCAGCCAAAGTCCTATTAAATCTCTCAACTATGGCTTGGCTGCGATGGGCTCGGCCGTGCCACGCCTGACCTTTGTATCGTGTTTGGCTAGCAGTTGTGACCGCGGCACCCATGAACTCCCGCCCTGGGTCAACTTGCAGCTCTGTTGGCCACGTCAGCGGACTGCGTTTGTATATGCGTTCGAATCCTCTGGCTACCTGGGCCGAATCTTTCGCGGTCAAGGGTTCGGCTTCCTTGTAGCGACTGGCCACATCCACGACTGTTAAGGCATACTTGTACCTCTTGTCGTGGGGTAGGAACAGTAGGTCTGCCTGGTGAACGCTATTAGGTATGTTAATACCGAACCTCCTTCTAGGCACGTAGCGTGGTGCCGGTAAATAGATCTGCCACAGGGCTTGTTTTTCAAGCCACGCTTTGGCCTCCTCCGGGGGTACTCGCGCCATTTTAGCTAGCTTATCTACGGCGCTAGCTCCTTTCCAGTACCCA